TACTTCTCTGCATTCGGGTCATGGCCCCGTCACTCTCTTGAACCTCACGTTCCCTCAGGCAGCCCACTCTCCATGGAAGCTCCCCCGTCTCCCACTTGACTCATGCTACTCATCCTTCAGTTCTCAACTAACAGTGTTCTGTCCTTGGGGGCCGGTGGGGAGCCTTCCAGAGTCGGCCAGGTCTCTCAGCCACGGAGCTTCGTCACGCACAGCACGTCTTTCCTTCACTCAGCAGTTCATTCTCAGTGTAGTGCCTCTTACAGGTTGTAAGCCCCATGAGTGCTGGTCCCGCGTTCTTTTTGTTCTCTGCCGTTCCCTAGCCCTGGGCCTCACCTACGGCAGGTATACAACAGATGGTTTTTGTTTTCGTTTTGTTTTTATATTTTATTTATTTATTCACGAGAAACACACACAGAGAGAGAGAGGCAGAGACGGAGAAGCAGGCTCCCCGCTGAGCAGGGAGCCCGATGCGGGACTGGATCCCGGGAACCAGTGATCACGACCTGAGCCGAAGGCAGACACTTAACCAACTGAGCCACCCAGGCGCCCCCAACAAATGCTTTTGAATAAATAAATGAACGAATTACAAAACTGAAAATCCTCATTCTTTGGGAATAAGGAACCCACTTATTGTATGTGGCCCTGAATTTAGATCCATCGTTGATATTTACAGTCAAGTAAATTGTGAGAACTTTGTGATCTTTGGATCTGCCAGAAGTGGAATGGGCCAAAGGTGAGTTCCCCTTCTGATTCTAGGCCAGAGGTTGCAAACCAATAGTCTGGGTTGCATGTGCCCTACCAACATATTTCAGTTGGTTCAGGCAGTGTTTTCAGGATTGGGATATTCCACATCCAACGTCTAGCTTCTCTGGGGGAAGATCTGAAAATGAGGAAACTCGGACCTGAACTGCTGCATGCCAGTAAGTGGGCAGGGCGGAGGAGTGAGCAGGTGAGTCTGCTGAATAAAGAGGCCTGCCCTCTCCAGCTCACTGCAGTCCCCAGTCGCTCCTGCGGTTTGGCCCACTGTGCTCCTTTAGGTCACCTGCCCGGTCCTGTCAGGCATTTGAGTGTGCATTCCCCTGTGCGGGTAACTCCAGGTATTCAGTGTACTCAAACTGAGTACCTGCTTGATGGAGTTGAAGGATTAGAATGGTTTTAACGAAATCAGTCTGTTCCGTCCCTATGATTATCTGAAGTCAAAGCACTTAGAGTGCTTTGCATGCTTTCGAAAAGCTGTTTTTTCCCTGCTCCTACCACTATGTGTTCATCGTATGTGGCTCAGCCAGAAGTGTGTAATGCTATGCCTGGCCCATGGCATAGATAATAAATGTTTGGATGGATGAAAAGCCCAGGAGAAGCATTGGTTTCCTTTTTCTTACCGGCATTTGCCTTTGGCATGTGATACAGCACCAGTAGAGGGAGCCCTCTAATAATTTGGAAATCTAGGAGAAGACTCTCTGTTCATCCCTCTAATTGTATTTAATTTAGGGATTATGCTAAGAATGTATTCCTCCCTGCTGCCCCAAGAATTTAAGTTAACAACACTGGGAAGTTAATAAATTGTGGGAAGGGAGAGTATGACCTTCAACCCTGACCCCCCACCTGAGGCTTTTCTAGATGAAGACGTTCCAAGTAGTCTCTAGAGTCTTTTAATCCATTTTGAAAGCCGCTAACCTTATGCTCCTAAAAATTTCCAAATAATTGGGTACATTTAGCCCTTAGGGTCTCATAGTAACAGGGCTGCCTCAGGCATAACTACAAAATGATGGGTTTGCCAGACGGCGTGACAACCAGTCTTTGCATAGCTTTCATCTGTGAAAAACGAGTGAGTGGTTGTAGATTGGTTCTAAGGTTCTTCCCAGCTCAGAGCAAAGCTAGTTTATAGGAGAAAAGCCTTATATATTTCACCCTTTCACAAATGGGTGAAAATGTAAAAATCTCTTTGAGAACTTTAGAAATTATTTTCTCCTCCTAAAACCTATCACTTTTTGAGAAGTCAGCTTATTTGGGGAAAATTTAAGTAATGGAAACTCTTAGCAACTTGGAAAGCGGTGTATGGTGGTATATGGTTTTTTATTTTTGTTTAGAGTCATAGATTATGGCTTTAGATTCATTATTATCCATTGGCATGCAGCCCTCTCTGTTCTGGAAAGTTCTTTTATTTTTCTTCAGTTCAATTATTTTAATATATATCAAAGCAATTTATTACAAAAGGAAAAACTTTGTTTTTTTATGGTGTGGGGTTGAATTTCAGATTAAGTAAAATGGGGGGAGGCAATGGTAAGGAGCACTCTTAACTTCCACATACTTAAAACATTGTTAAAGAGGAAAATGAAATAATACTTGGAAATCTCAAAGCACTCGAAAATTTTTACCTAATTAAGCTTTTTACCCCCCACGCAGTAAGTACTCCTTTAGCCATACAGGTGACATTCTAAGAATTTCTAAGGAGGTTGTATTCTCAGTACCACAGAGCTCAAATTACACAGTTTCTAAAGGAAATGCGTGCAGTGCCATTCCAGCATGACTTCCAATGAGTCACCCTCTAATTTCTCCCAAACAGACATGGTGTAACATCATTGTTATTTTATGTAATTCTTTTCACTACCAGACTATGATTTTTCAAATTATTGTTAATGATTCCAACTGAAAACTTGTTTAAGGCATTTGTATCTATTTCCTTCTAATTTGTATGAGTTCATGTTTCAGTTGCTTGAATTCAGATCCTGTTTACTCCACGCAGGTTTCTCTGGGCTAGAAGGCAGGGCAGATGTGGACAAAGTGGTGATTTGTGATGACCTAATTATTTATATGAATAGCCTGGATTCTTGGGGCTTTGCCCAGAATCTAGGGTTAAGTTGTTACACTTTAAATTCTATTTATATATAATGGTGATGTAGGTGACAATATTTGTTTCCTTATTGTACTAAGTGACCTTGAATTTTAATCTTTCCATTTGGGGTTTTGGTTGTCTTCTTGAGCATAATACAGTACTGTTTTCTTTGTCCTGTTCTTTACAGAAACTGACCAAATGCCAGAGGTTACATGATACAAAAATAATTTGCTTATAAAAATAAATCACTTGCATGTAAAACAATTTGCATAATTTATGTAATGTGCTTGTACAAGTTTTCATAATAAACTAAAATGCAGGGAAACCTGGATTGGCTTTTGGGTATAAAATAAAATTCCTTCTATGAGCTCTTGACTACTGATATCAGAGAAGTAAAAGAGAAAAAAAATTATTCATGTTAATTTCTTTCAGAAATAACATTTTTTGTAGGGGCTTTTCTAATTACAGAAACAGTGCAAATAATTGCCCCAAAAATGTGAGAAATATTTAAGACTACTAAGATGGTTACATTTTAATATAACATTTTCAGAGATTTTTTTTTAGGCCAGCCAATGCATTTTTAAGTCCGGTATCTCAGCTAAATGATCTAATAATACTGATTTGATTTTTTTTTTTTAATGAGCTAAATCAGCCTCTTATTTATTTCCCAGCCAGAATATATACAGCTGTGGTAATAAATACCAGTAAATACTTCACTCTTGAAATTGAATATGTGGTATCCCCAGGAAGAATTCTAAATTGAGCTGTCATTGCTAAAGACTTTCATTTATTTTGGTATATTTGTATATGCTATGGCCAGCTTGCATACAAAGTGATGCAATATATAGGTGCAATATAAGATTATATTGACCTTTCTCCCTTTGGTTTTAGGCTTCTGGAACTTTTTTGTGGTGAGGATTGATGAAAGTGTCACTAAAATATATATAAGTAGGAAATATTTGTTTTTTTCTGTAAAGATTTGAAGCTCTCATTGTTGGAGAGAGACTACTGCAGCGACTTTTATCACTTTTTAGGAAAGAATTAAATTTGAAGTGTTTGCTGTACACTTTTGGAAACAACTTCAACACAGAAGAAAACAAGTCTAGAAATCATGTTTACTGCTACTTTTCTAATATTCTTAACCACTGAACTTACAAGTCATGGTAGCCTTATTTTAACAGTATCTTAAGAGGAACAAAAAATTTCCTGGTATAGCAATTATCACCTGCGGATGGCCTAAAATTAGCATATTGAGTTAACTCCAGAAACAGCTTGTGAGCTGTGAAATGGAGTTCAGAGAGATAGTGAAATTTCACAGAAACGCTTGGTGTATGGTATAAATAACCAGATATCAAGATACCAGTCGATGCCTACAAAGTAAAATGAAACTACTAATAGCTTAGTTAAAATATCCTATGTAAAACTTGATGTCAAAGAGAATTTAATTTGATGTGAACATAGTGAAGCCTCTCTGCTTATGCATAGAATTTTTTTTTGCTTATGCATAGAATTTTAAGAATTATTTGTATACACTTACACAAACAAAGAAGGCTTGAAGCCGAATTTATGATGACTTATAATCTGATTGGGAGAAAAGAGAATTTAAGTATAGATGAAGATGTTAATCAGGTTTATAAAAGCATGCAGATTTCAAGTTAACTTTTCTCAGGCTTTTCAGTGTTATTATTTGACAGATCAAAAAAGATGTTCCATTCTTTGGCAAGGAGAAATAGTTTAGAGCCAGAATTTAAAAGGAGAAGCAAATGAACAATGCAAAAGAATTTAAATTTTTCATGAGAGGACTTGATGGATTATTTGGTCATTGGGCATCTGGCAAATATTTCTGGCCCTTTAATAGCTAGGCATCAAAAACACTGCTTCTTCCTCTTTGTGTTAAGTTACTTAAACTTGAGTTGTTTGTTTTTTTTTTTTAAAGATTATTTAAGAGCGCAAGAGCGAGTGAGCATGCATGTGCAAGAAGGGGGAGGAGCAGAGGGAGAGGGACAAGCAGACTCCACGCTGAGTGTGGAGCCTGGCATGGGGCTCGATCCCCCAAGGGTGAGATCATGACCTAAGCCGAAATCAAGAGTTAGATGTTCGAGTGACTGAGCCACCCAGGTGCCCCTAAACTTGAGTTTTAATTCATATGTATAAAGGATAAATTTTGGTGCCGCTTCGGTAGCACACATACTAAAATTGGAATCATAATGGAGAGTAGCATGGCCCATATGCAAAGATGACCCAGAAATGCATGCAGCTTTCCATAATTTTGATGTTAGCTTATTGTGGTAATCCTTTTGCAGTATATACGTATATCAAATTATTATGCTGTACAGCTTAAACTAACACAGTGTTCTATGTCAGTTATATCTTACTAAAACTGGGAGGGGAAGGATATATTTTGAACATGTCCATACATTGAAGACCATCCAGAAAATATTTAATGTTTAGCTATTAATGTAGTTTTATAAGTAAGGTTCTATTTTATGGGGTTTTATTTTGTCTCTGATCGTGGATAATTTTTTGCCATTCAGAAAGGAAACATTTAATGTATGACATGCACACAGTGTAAGGGAAAAAATAGCTCCTATGCATGCATTTATATTTCTTCAATATCCCAGCTAAAGTGATATTTCTTATCGGATTATGTTTAGGAGTATAAATTTATGTCTTGGAAAAAAATCTGAATTGAACTTTACAACTCTGCACAACTGTTAATAATAGTCATATAGTTCTGAGATCCCTGGTCAGAATAAAAGAATCCATCAACAGATTTTGTAGATTTTCCTGGGAGTTTTCTGGGTTGATCGCTGCCTACAAATCCCATCCCTTCTTTCCTTTTGTGTAGGAGGACCAATCAGTGGCTACCCCAGTGAACTGAAGAGTTAGCTACTCTTCGGTTAACAAGTCTCATTTCCTGGTATAGATGCATGTACACACGTACACACACACACGTGCGTGCGCACTCACAGGCATACATCCCTGCCATTGGGCAAGAACATGTTTATTATCAGTCTTTGTACCCTGTTTCTGGTGGTTTCAGGACTTGGAGGACTGAATGATCGCTCCTCTCCATGGAGTGCTTGGGGACCTCTTACGTTAGCTAACCATTATGGTCCCCTGAGGAAATGTGCTAAATAAAAAATGTTTTCAGATTTTGCTAGGAATGCATATAATATATCCTTACAATAAAATACTCTACAACGGTTAATATAAGTACGTCTGTTTGTGCTAGCATGGGAAACTGCCCATGATGAGGTATGATATGCACATTGCATGACATATATAACAGAATGCCCATGAATTTCTTTATAAGCTCTGTTCAATAAAAGGTTTTTGTAAATGCATCACTTCTATGGCATACATTGTAGTTTCTTGCAGCTGTTTGCCTTTTTGTATTCTATTCCTTCTACTAGAATATATTTTCCGCCTGATGAATTCCTTTTTATTCTTTCAGAACTTAACTGAAATATAATCTGTGAAGCTCTAGACCTGACTCCCCAGACATAACTAGTTTTTCTCCGAAGCATTAGTGCCCTCTGTTCTTACCTCTATTGTACCACTCATAATATGTCTTATAATGATTTGTTTATATGTACATCTGTTCTCCGTCTAGGTAGTGAGCTCCTGTCAGCCAGCCTAGGTTCGAGTACATAATATGGCCTCGACAAAACAGAAGAATGTCTCTTTATTACTTCATGTTGCTCGGGCCATAAGTTGATGTGCATAGAACATTTTGAGAGCTCTTTTTTCTCCTGGGTTTGATAAAGTAACATCCACTGTATTTTGTGATTCCAGTTCTTTAACTCATTCATATGATTATTAAGATATTTTTTTTAAAACTTCATTCAGGGGCGCCTGGGTAGCTCAGTGGGTTAAGCATCTGACTTTGGCTCAGGTCATGATCCCGGGATCCTGGGATTGAGCTCCACTCCAGGCTCTCTGCTCAGCAGGGAGTCAGCTTCTCCCTTTGCCTCTCCCCCTGCCCGTGATCTCTCTTTCTCTTTCTCTCTCTCAAATAAATAAATAAAATCTTTAAAAATATTTAAAAAATTAAAAACTTCATTGAAGGATAATTTATAAACCCTAAAGTTCATCCACTTTAAGTATATAATTAAATGGTAAAGAAAGTCAGAGTTGTGTAATCGTCACTAAATCCAATTTTAGAACAATTCCATTACCCCAAGAGTATCCCATCTGAGGTATTTTTCAATATTGATGGAACTATCCAGAAACTTGTGTTGTGGGTTGAACTTGATGACCTCAAACTTTGTCATTATTTTTGGCTCTAACTGTGTCAGGCACGACATGCTTAAAGGAGGCCTACATACATAGTGGCACTGCATGCTGAAAGAATAGTGCATGCTGGCAATGAGCTACGCCAGTTTCTCTTCAGAGGCTTGCTGTGTGACGAGCTCTGCGCTGGGTCCATTGTATACATGACCTCATTTGAGATTCAGAATAGAATAACCTGTAATGTAGATGCCTTCTTTATTTAATCCATATGTACTCTGCAGAGAAGGAAGTAACTCAAGGTCACACCACTGGTAAGTGGAAGGGCTGGGATTTGAACTTGGACCTGACTGTGTCCCACACTTGCCTGAACATTCAGTGGCTATATATTGAGCAATTATTGTGTGTTCCCATAAAAAGGCACATCTTAGGAAACATGTAAGCAAGTTTAAAGAGTTACTTAATCTGGGGGCGCCTGGGTGGCTCAGTCAGTTAAGCGGCTGCCTTCGGCTCAGGTCATGATCCCAGGGTGCTGGGATCGAGCCCCACATCAGGCTCCCTGCTCCGCGGGAAGCCTGCTTCTCCCTCTGCCACTCCCCCTGCTTGTGTTCCCTCTCTCGCTGTGTCTCTCTCTGTCAAATAAATCTTAAAAAAAAAAAAAAAAGAGTTACTTAATCTGAAAACGGAGGAGGTAACTACAGTGTTGAAAGGATCAGCTCTGAAATGAGCTTTTTCTCTGGCTTGGCTCCATCCGGTTTGGTTTGAGGCCCTGTGGGCGTATCCTGAATTGGGTCAGCAAACCTAGAAAGAGAATAAACAGGACCATGTTGTAAAACTGTAAAATACCGAAGCCACTTGGGTTGTCAGCATCATCTCTGATTGAGTTTGCTTTGGGGATTATTTCATCTTTCAGTCTTAAAATGTTACCATCGCTTGGTTTTCGTTAACACAGATGGTTGATTTTATTAGTTAAGAGTTGTGGTTTGGCTGCTCTAACAGAGACCTAGCAGTGGTTTAAAATAGAAATGTATTTTTCTCTCAGATAAAAAGCTGGGTAGGTAATCAAGGTTTGGCATAGTAGTTCCCCTGTCTTTAGGGAACCTGCCTCTTTATCTCGTTGCTCTGCCCCCATTATCGCACGGCTCTCATCTTGGGGTTTAAGCGGGTTGTTTTAGCTCCTTCCACCACATCTCTCCAGCCACCAGGAGGAGGACATGTGTTTTTCTCTCCTTTAAGGCCATGACCAAGAAGTTGCTTGTGTAACTTCCAATCACATCTTGTGCTACAGAACGTAGAGAGCACATGCCCCTCATTCTGTGAAGACGATTTAAATATGAAAAACGTAGACTTGTATGTAAGGAGGGAGATATGGAATGCTTTAGGCCAGACTCTTTCTCAGTACTTCTTTTTTTTTTTTAATCTGGGCCAGAAGATTAGGCCAAATCCAGAAACTTCTGTCAACATGATTCCCCCAGGCTTTGAAGACATTTTTTTTTTCTCGTCAAGGTTTTTGTTTTTTTTTTTTTTTATGTTGTTAGTCACCATACATTACCAGTTCTTTAACTCATTCATATGATTATTAAGAT